GGTATCTCCCTGCTAGACCAGTAGTAGCTATAAATACAGCTGGTATCTCCCTGCTAGACCAGTATAAACTATAAATACAGCTGGTATCTCCCTGCTAGACCAGTAGTAACTATAAATACAGCTGGTATCTCCCTGATAGACCAGTAGTAACTATAAATACAGCTGGTATCTCCCTGCTAGACCAGTAGTAACTATAAATACAGCTGGTATCTCCCTGCTAGACCAGTAGTAGCTATAAATACAGCTGGTATTTCCCTGCTAGACCAGTAGTAGCTATAAATACAGCTGGTATCTCCCTGATAGACCAGTATAAACTATAAATACAGCTGGTATCTCCCTGCTAGACCAGCAGTAGCTATAAATACAGCTGGTATCTCCCTGATAGACCAGTATAAACTATAAATACAGCTGTTATCTCCCTGCTAGACCAGTAGTAGCTATAAATACAGCTGGTATCTCCCTGATAGCCCAGTAGTAGCTATAAATACAGCTGTTATCTCCCTGCTAGACCAGTAGTAGCTATAAATACAGCTGTTATCTCCCTGCTAGACCAGTAGTAGCTATAAATACAGCTGGTATCTCCCTGATAGCCCAGTAGTAGCTATAAATACAGCTGGTATCTCCCTGATAGACCAGTAGTAGCTATAAATACAGCTGGTATCTCCCTGCTAGACCAGTAGTAACTATAAATACAGCTGGTATCTCCCTGATAGACCAGCAGTAGCTATAAATACAGCTGGTATCTCCCTGATAGACCAGCAGTAGCTATAAATACAGCTGGTATCTCCCTGATAGACCAGCAGTAGCTATAAATACAGCTGGTATCTCCCTGATAGACCAGCAGTAGCTATAAATATAGCTGGTATCTCCCTGATAGCCCAGTAGTAGCTATAAATACAGCTGGTATTTCCCTGCTAGACCAGTAGTAACTATAAATACAGCTGGTATCTCCCTGCTAGACCAGTAGTAACTATAAATACAGCTGGTATCTCCCTGCTAGACCAGCAGTAGCTATAAATACAGCTGGTATCTCCCTGATAGACCAGTATAAACTATAAATACAGCTGGTATCTCCCTGATAGCCCAGTAGTAGCTATAAATACAGCTGGTATCTCCCTGCTAGACCAGTAGTAGCTATAAATACAGCTGGTATCTCCCTGCTAGACCAGTAGTAACTATAAATACAGCTGGTATCTCCCTGATAGACCAGCAGTAGCTATAAATACAGCTGGTATCTCCCTGCTAGACCAGTAGTAACTATAAATACAGCTGTTATCTCCCTGATAGACCAGCAGTAGCTATAAATACAGCTGGTATTTCCCTGCTAGACCAGTAGTAACTATAAATACAGCTGGTATCTCCCTGCTAGACCAGTAGTAACTATAAATACAGCTGGTATCTCCCTGCTAGACCAGTAGTAACTATAAATACAGCTGTTATCTCCCTGATAGACCAGTAGTAGCTATAAATACAGCTGTTATCTCCCTGCTAGACCAGTAGTAGCTATAAATACAGCTGGTATCTCCCTGCTAGACCAGTAGTAACTATAAATACAGCTGGTATCTCCCTGATAGCCCAGTAGTAACTATAAATACAGCTGGTATCTCCCTGCTAGACCAGTAGTAACTATAAATACAGCTGGTATCTCCCTGATAGCCCAGTAGTAACTATAAATACAGCTGGTATCTCCCTGCTAGACCAGTATAAACTATAAATACAGCTGGTATCTCCCTGCTAGACCAGTATAAACTATAAATACAGCTGGTATCTCCCTGAGAGCAGTAGTAACTATAAATACAGCTGGTATCTCCCTGATAGACCAGTAGTAACTATAAATACAGCTGTTATCTCCCTGATAGACCAGTAGTAACTATAAATACAGCTGGTATCTCCCTGAGAGCAGTAGTAACTATAAATACAGCTGGTATCTCCCTGATAGACCAGTAGTAACTATAAATACAGCTGGTATCTCCCTGAGAGCAGTAGTAACTATAAATACAGCTGGTATCTCCCTGATAGACCAGTAGTAACTATAAATACAGCTGGTATCTCCCTGCTAGACCAGTAGTAACTATAAATACAGCTGGTATCTCCCTGCTAGACCAGTAGTAACTATAAATACAGCTGGTATCTCCCTGCTAGACCAGTAGTAACTATAAATACAGCTGGTATCTCCCTGCTAGACCAGTATAAACTATAAATACAGCTGGTATCTCCCTGATAGACCAGTAGTAACTATAAATACAGCTGGTATCTCCCTGAGAGCAGTAGTAACTATAAATACAGCTGGTATCTCCCTGCTAGACCAGTAGTAGCTATAAATACAGCTGGTATCTCCCTGCTAGACCAGTAGTAGCTATAAATACAGCTGGTATCTCCCTGAGAGCAGTAGTAACTATAAATACAGCTGGTATCTCCCTGAGAGCAGTAGTAACTATAAATACAGCTGGTATCTCCCTGCTAGACCAGTAGTAACTATAAATACAGCTGGTATCTCCCTGCTAGACCAGTATAAACTATAAATACAGCTGGTATCTCCCTGCTAGACCAGTAGTAACTATAAATACAGCTGGTATCTCCCTGCTAGACCAGCAGTAGCTATAAATACAGCTGGTATCTCCCTGAGAGCAGTAGTAACTATAAATACAGCTGGTATCTCCCTGCTAGACCAGTAGTAACTATAAATACAGCTGGTATCTCCCTGATAGACCAGTAGTAACTATAAATACAGCTGGTATCTCCCTGATAGACCAGTAGTAGCTATAAATACAGCTGGTATCTCCCTGAGAGCAGTAGTAACTATAAATACAGCTGGTATCTCCCTGATAGACCAGTAGTAACTATAAATACAGCTGGTATCTCCCTGATAGACCAGTAGTAGCTATAAATACAGCTGGTATCTCCCTGAGAGCAGTAGTAACTATAAATACAGCTGGTATCTCCCTGCTAGACCAGTAGTAGCTATAAATACAGCTGGTATCTCCCTGATAGCCCAGTAGTAACTATAAATACAGCTGGTATCTCCCTGAGAGCAGTAGTAACTATAAATACAGCTGGTATCTCCCTGAGAGCAGTAGTAACTATAAATACAGCTGGTATCTCCCTGCTAGACCAGTAGTAGCTATAAATACAGCTGGTATCTCCCTGCTAGACCAGTAGTAACTATAAATACAGCTGGTATCTCCCTGAGAGCAGTAGTAACTATAAATACAGCTGGTATCTCCCTGCTAGACCAGTAGTAACTATAAATACAGCTGGTATCTCCCTGAGAGCAGTAGTAACTATAAATACAGCTGGTATCTCCCTGCTAGACCAGTAGTAGCTATAAATACAGCTGGTATCTCCCTGAGAGCAGTAGTAACTATAAATACAGCTGGTATCTCCCTGCTAGACCAGTAGTAGCTATAAATACAGCTGGTATCTCCCTGATAGCCCAGTAGTAACTATAAATACAGCTGGTATCTCCCTGAGAGCAGTAGTAACTATAAATACAGCTGGTATCTCCCTGAGAGCAGTAGTAACTATAAATACAGCTGGTATCTCCCTGCTAGACCAGTAGTAACTATAAATACAGCTGGTATCTCCCTGCTAGACCAGCAGTAGCTATAAATACAGCTGGTATCTCCCTGAGAGCAGTAGTAACTATAAATACAGCTGGTATCTCCCTGATAGACCAGTAGTAACTATAAATACAGCTGGTATCTCCCTGCTAGACCAGTATAAACTATAAATACAGCTGGTATCTCCCTGATAGACCAGTAGTAACTATAAATACAGCTGGTATCTCCCTGAGAGCAGTAGTAACTATAAATACAGCTGGTATCTCCCTGCTAGACCAGCAGTAGCTATAAATACAGCTGGTATCTCCCTGAGAGCAGTAGTAACTATAAATACAGCTGGTATCTCCCTGATAGACCAGTAGTAACTATAAATACAGCTGTTATCTCCCTGCTAGACCAGTAGTAGCTATAAATACAGCTGGTATCTCCCTGCTAGACCAGTATAAACTATAAATACAGCTGTTATCTCCCTGCTAGACCAGTAGTAACTATAAATACAGCTGGTATCTCCCTGATAGACCAGTAGTAACTATAAATACAGCTGTTATCTCCCTGCTAGACCAGTAGTAACTATAAATACAGCTGGTATCTCCCTGCTAGACCAGTAGTAGCTATAAATACAGCTGGTATCTCCCTGCTAGACCAGTAGTAACTATAAATACAGCTGGTATCTCCCTGCTAGCCCAGTAGTAGCTATAAATACAGCTGTTATCTCCCTGATAGACCAGTAGTAACTATAAATACAGCTGGTATCTCCCTGATAGCCCAGTAGTAACTATAAATACAGCTGGTATCTCCCTGCTAGACCAGTAGTAACTATAAATACAGCTGGTATCTCCCTGCTAGCCCAGTAGGAACTATAAATACAGCTGGTATCTCCCTGCTAGACCAGTATAAACTATAAATACAGCTGGTATCTCCCTGCTAGACCAGTATAAACTATAAATACAGCTGGTATCTCCCTGCTAGACCAGTAGTAACTATAAATACAGCTGGTATCTCCCTGCTAGACCAGTAGTAACTATAAATACAGCTGGTATCTCCCTGCTAGACCAGTAGTAACTATAAATACAGCTGGTATCTCCCTGCTAGACCAGTAGGAACTATAAATACAGCTGGCATCTCCCTGCTAGACCAGTAGGAACTATAAATACAGCTGGTATCTTCCTGCTAGACCAGTAGGAACTATAAATACAGCTGGTATCTCCCTGCTAGACCAGTAGTAACTATAAATACAGCTGGTATCTCCCTGCTAGACCAGTGCAGTAGTAACTATAAATACAGCTGGTATCTCCCTGCTAGACCAGTATAAACTATAAATACAGCTGGTATCTCCCTGCTAGACCAGTGCAGTAGTAACTATAAATACAGCTGGTATCTTCCTGCTAGACCAGTATAAACTATAAATACAGCTGGTATCTCCCTGCTAGACCAGTATACCTGGTTATATCAGGATCTGATACAAATTCCTGCCTCAGTTTGTATTTTACTTGCTTCTCCTCTCGTATAGCAATACCAAAGGAGTCCCTCTGTTTAGTTCGGGTCCTCCAACCTTTACTCTTGGTGGCTAAACTCTGCACACCTGGGGTAGTGCAACATTAGTGTAAAATTGTATAGTGCAACATTGTATAGTGCAACATTAGTGCAACATTGTATAGTGCAACATTAGTGCAACATTGTATAGCGTAACATTAGTGTAACATTGTATAGTGCAGCATTAGTGTAACATTGTATAGTGCAACATTGTATAGTGCAACATTAGTGCAACATTGTATAGTGCAACATTAGTGCAACATTGTATAGCGCAACATTAGTGCAACATTGTATAGCGCAACATTGTATAGTGCAACATTAGTGCAACATTGTATAGCGCAACATTGTATAGTGCAACATTGTATAGCGCAACATTGTATAGTGCAACATTGTATAATGCAACATTAGTGCAACATTGTATAGCGCAACATTAGTGCAACATTGTATAGTGCAACATTGTATAGTGCAACATTAGTGCAACATTGTATAGCGCAACATTAGCGCAACATTGTATAGCGTAACATTGTATAGCAAAATATTAGTGCAACATTGTATAGCGCAACATTGTATAGTGCAACATTAGTGTAACATTGTATAGTGCAACATTAGTGTAACATTGTATAGCGCAACATTGTATAGTGCAACATTAGTGTAACATTGTATAGCGCAACATTGTATAGCAAAGCATTAGTGTAACATTGTATAGCGCAACATCATTGTAACATTGTATAGCGCAACATTAGTCCAACATTGTAAAGCGTAACATTAGTGTAACATTGTATAGCGCAACATTAGTGTAACATTGTAGAGCGCAACATTAGTGCAACATTGTAGAGCGCAACATTGTATAGCGTAACATTAGTGTAACATTGTATAGCGCAACAGTAGTGCAACATTGTAGAACGTAATATTAGTGTAACATTGTATAGCGTAACATTAGCTTAACATTGTATAGCGCAACATTAGTGCAAAATTGTAAACGCAACATTAGTGTAACATTGTATAGCGCAACATTAGTGTAACATTTTATAGCACAATAATACATAACGCAGTAGTAGTTACAATACTAGTTACCATAGTTACCTGGTGTCACTATATTGTTACTTGGTAGAAGTAGTGGTAGTAGTTACAATACTAGTTACCATAGTTACCTGGTGTCACTATATTGTTACTTGGTAGAAGTAGTGGTAGTAGTTACAATACTAGTTACCATAGTTACCTGGTGTCACTATATTGTTACTTGGTAGAAGTAGTGGTAGTAGTAACACTACTAGTTACCATAGTTACCTGGTGTCACTATATTGTTACTTGGTAGAAGTATTGGTAGTAGTTACAATACTAGTTACCATGGTTACCTGGTGTCACTATATTGTTACCTGGTAGAAGGAGTGGTAGTAGTAACACTACTAGTTACCATAGTTACCTGGTGTCACTATATTGTTACTTGGTAGAAGTAGTGGTAGTAGTAACACTACTAGTTACCATAGTTACCTGGTGTCACTATATTGTTACCTGGTAGAAGTAGTGGTAGTAGTAACACTACTAGTTACCATAGTTACCTGGTGTCACTATATTGTTACCTGGTAGAAGGAGTGGTAGTAGTAACACTACTAGTTACCATAGTTACCTGGTGTCACTATATTGTTACTTGGTAGAAGTAGTGGTAGTAGTAACACTACTAGTTACCATAGTTACCTGGTGTCACTGCACGATGTAGGAACTTGCTCTGAAGACACAACATAACTACACTTCTTTAGTAGTGTTACTTCTTTGTGTTCACATATCAGTATTGCTGTTCAATAGGACATTAATTATACACAGAATATTGGTGAGCACATGACTATCCCTTAGTAGTACATCAAAAATAGTAATTTTCAGTGAACTTGGCGAGTAAGGTAAATCAAAAATAGTAATTTTCAGTGAACTTGGCGAGTAAGGTACATCAAAAATAGTAACTTTCAGTGAACTTGGCGAGTAAGGTACATCAAAAATAGTAACTTTCAGTGAACTTGGCGAGTAAGGTACATCAAAAATAGTAACTTTCAGTGAACTTGGCGAGTAAGGTACATCAAAAATAGTAACTTTCAGTGAACTTGGCGAGTAAGGTACATCAAAAATAGTAACTTTCAGTGAACTTGGCGAGTAAGGTACATCAAAAATAGTAACTTTCAGTGAACTTGGCGAGTAAGGTACATCAAAAATAGTAACTTTCAGTGAACTTGGCGAGTAAGATACAGTAGAACCCCGCTTCACCACGACCATTTCCTTCCTCCAAATAAATGCACAATGTAAATAAAAAACCCTGATTTACTGCAGGTGTTCCTCCAAACTCCGGTAAATTGGATCAAAAATGTTAAAAACACCTGAACGATAAGTAGGGTTGCCGGGGCCGGGGGGGTCCACATTCATTATTAACTTATCTTATTCGATTTATCACACCTCTACCTGCACCTAGTGAACTATGAGTTTAACATCCTATAAAATTAAGAAAGAAGAATCCCAGAGGATGATCACCATGGTAACGAGGCCACCTGGTCTGCTAGTTGTACCAAGTGTATGGTACATTCTGCACATTGCAATGTGTTTCTAGTTTGGATACCTTGTCTGATGTGTCACTACTGAAAACTCTCTGCTACTCTAACCGCTAGAGAGTAGCTCGTTTGTTTGAATCTAAATATTAAGTAATTAGTTAGCTGCTTAATTGATGTACTAACAATGCGTGTGTTAGAATGGTAGTCTGATGATGGAGTTTACATTACTAACAAGTAACACTACTAGGTAGTGATGGAGTTTACATTAGAGGAGATAGTGGGCCTGATAAAGGGGCCCCTCAATGACGAGGACCTGTACGCTATCTGTGAGAAGATGTGTCTAGCAGTTCTCACACTAGACCAGTCTCGTAACATTATCATCACCAGGGAAACTGTGTTCCTGGGGACTGAAGGGAACATCAAGATCGACATAGGTACAATAGGTGGGGGGGGGGGGGGGGCGGGGACATAGCCCATAGGTACAATAGGGGGGGGGGGGCATAGGTACAATAGGTGGGGGGGCGGGGACATAGCCCATAGGTACAATAGGGGGGGGGGGGGCATAGGTACAATAGGGGGGCGGGGGGGGGGCAACCTCATAAATATACATAAATGAGGTTGCCCCCCCCCCCCCATATTATAGTTTAACGCTGTTTTATACACAGGTACATTATTACCTGCTACTATACATTATTACATGCTACTATACATTATTACCTGCTACTATATATTCCAATACAGACCCTAGTACTGAATTAAACATTTGAAAAAAAACAACATGCCAATGTATAAATGCAAATCAATTATTGGGTACACAATAAAGGTACAATAACAACAATACAACAAACTGAACTGCAATCGCGCACACTTTTAAAGAATTGCACGTTAGCCATATATGACACAACTGAATGGTCTATGGTGGCTCAGACTCGCCACCGTTTTAAAATTGATTTGCGAAAAAACCCAATGTCAAATCAATTTATATTTTGATATTGAATTGGAATTTCATAGCTTAAACCTGGAGCTGGAGGGGGATTTTTTAAAAACATATAAGAGATATAAAAAGTTTGTTTTAGCAGGAGCTTTCAAAATACGTGTGTAAATCGTCTTCAGCTGCCTTGGCTTATATCCGCCATTGTTTTAAAATTGACATTGGTTTTTCTTAGTGGCAGGTCTTTTTTTCAGTGGCGGGTCTGAGCCACCATACTGGTCACACGAAATATGTAACTACTCGGGTGAATGAGCTAAAAAGCTTTATATGGGCAATTCCACGATAACGGTAACCAGTAACAAAATAATAAAGTTTGGAGGTGGTTTGGGAGAGATAGAAAATCTTTAAGATATTTGACCATATTTTCAGGGGCAAAAAACCGTTTGTTGATATCTAGCCTAGTTTAAAAACTGTAGCGCGTCAAAGTTGGCTTAAATTTAGTGTATCTTTAGTGTGAATATCCCGTTATTTTCCGAAAGATTTTAGGGAGCTTTATTAATCGTAGAATTCAATATTTTATCCTGTATATCAACCTAGTGGGCTTCAGATAGAAGGCCAGCCTAATTTTGAGGGCCAAATTTCTTTACTTTTTGAGTGTCTTATGATCAAATTTTTCCTCTTCGAGTGTGAATAACGCTACCAAATAGTGAAAAATGTTTTACTGTGGCTACACTATAAGTCTGTTTGATTCGTAACTCTCTCTCTAACGGCAACTTTAGTCATCTATAAAGGTCAGAAAATTTCATTCGTTTTGTCACACTGGAAGTGCAAAAAGTAGGGGTAGTGTGATTCACAGGTAGCGTAATTCACAGCTTGGTAGTGTAATTTACACAGCGGAAAATTAATAAAACAAGTGGTTTAAATGCTTTGTTGTGAAATAAATTGTACTTTCAATACTTCCAGGGCAATTCCAGGGACCTATTTTCAACAACTGCCTGAAAGTGTTGGTAATTTAATCGAAATTAGGGTTCCGCCAGGGCAAAATGTGCCACTTTTAGACCTTAAATCGCAAAAATAATGATTTTTAAATGGATTAGGACATCAAAATTGATTTGAAAGTGTTTTATAGTCATTGTTAGGTCTGGGAACACTTATTTGAGTAATTTAAAGGCTTATTTTCAGAAAATATGAGCAATTTGGGGCTAAAATTACCTTATTTTCTTGTCACGTAACTAAATTTTGCTCAAAAGAGCAGTGTTTTTGCCCCAAAAAATTCTAATTTTTATCAAAATCCATGTATAGAGGTATCAAATTAAAGCTCTTGATGACCTCTTCACTTTAAAAACACAAAGAAGTAGTTTAAAATTGATATTATAAGTGATAAAATGGTCTAAAAATGGATTAAAAAAGTTATAAATTTCACCTAATTTCTGTCTAATCATGAACCTTTGAGAGCTCATAAAAAAATCATGCCACAATATTACACTGTACATTTTTCTAGGATTACTCTAAATGTCCTATACTTACAGATAGATCAACTTATAGATGCTTACCAAAGTTAATTTGCAACTTATTTTTGTAGTTTGTCCTAAAAAATGGCAAAAAATGGCCAAAAAATGCAATTTTTGACAAAAAATGAGGTAAAATTAATATTTGAGGTCAAATATCCATTTAATCATTCTAAAAACCTTTTTAAACGTTATTTTGGGGCAAGATACCCCTAGAATACATATTTTGTGGTATATCATACCCCTTAGTCATGCCTATGTCTTATGTCTACCTCGCATGGGCGCCCGGACCACTGTGGTATGGCAGTAGGGTGTAATCTACACCATTACCAGTATCTAATTGGACCAATTAGTGGTCAATTTAATTTAAAATTAGTAATAGTCAGTCTACTTCACCATTTTACAATAGCAGCAACCAAATTAAGAACAAGCAAACATCAATACAACGCACAAACAGAGCAACTGGGCAGAGTGTGAGTTACACTACGTCCAAATGTGAATAACGTTTACTTCCTATATTGTCCCTGTACTACACACATTCCACAAATTTATGTTAGGAAGGACATAGGAAGTTGAAAAAATGTGTACTTTATTATGATCAAGCCTTATTGTAACTTCTGCTATTACACTGGGGCACGAATTGCAATTTTAAGGCAAGATTTCTAAAACACCAAATTATGCCTGTGAATAACGCCTACTTTTTAAAATGCTGCTCACATAAAAAGTATAAGAGATAGACATTAAACTTTTGTTGCCACATCATCACAAACGTTTAAACTTCATTCTGACTTTATATTATCATGCTGCTAATGTTAGCCTACAATTAGCATGCAATTAAAAGCTAAATTTTGTGCAAAGTGTGAATTACACTACGTGGAATTGCCCATATACTATAACAGAGGTGCAGCTTGCTAACCTTACTTGATATATTATAACAGAGGTGCAGCTTGCTAACCTTACTTGATGGTAGGGACTAGGAATGGACGGCCAAGTTCTTATTGAAATAGAATATTCATTATACTGTGGAAATTATGAATAAATAATGAATGGCAAAATAGTTAATTATCAAAGCAGAGGATTTCTAGGGCGCCTTGTCAGAAGGACCTGCATCAGATCTCTGTCTCTTGACCCGTTTGACAGCCAATCCTTCAACCTCCGTACTCGGCTCACCTCCCTCACTCCTTCCCCCTTCTTCTTCTTTTGCTCCCTTCCCGTCAGACATGAAGATATTGTTCTTAAAGCCCCCAAACGGAGCAGCGGAGAATGCTGGTGCTCCAAACATACCTCCAGGAGCACTGTTTCCACTAGGGGCATCATTCCCGCCTGGAGCTTGGCTTGGTGCTGGCACAACCTGGCACATACCTGGGCTGGCCCCAAACAGGGAGTTGCCTCCAGCTGAAGCATTAAATGAGAAGCCCCGAAAAACGCCACTATTAGTTGAACTTGGGTCAAGATTCCCGGCCTTATCATACCTATAATGCTGTGTAGTTTTAACAGTGGGCGCTGCACCAAACAACCCACCTCCTGCTCCAGTTTGGGCACGACCAAATAGTGAGCCAGAGTTCCCCACTTGCGGAAAAGAAGCGGGAGCAGGATTCTTCTCCTCATATTCATGTGCTGTGTTTAATATATCCTGCAAGTTTATAGAGCTCATATCTCGCACTGCAAGACAATGTCCCTTTACAAATGGGTTAAGGGATCGGCTCGCAAATGTGGTGGCAATAAGAGCCTTCTTTATGTTTTCAGGAGTGAATGAATCCCAGTGAATTGAGTTAGCCGAAACTTGAACACGGTTGTAATAGTCTTCAAATGATTCAGCGAAGCCTTGTGATTCAGACAACAGTGTGGCAAGCAGTAATAATGGTGGCGTGTCTTTCATTAATTTCTTCCTAGTTAGGTTTACTATTTCTTTGAACAGGATAGGTTTGTCACTGATCAGTGAGTTTATGATGTCCCTGAGCTGAGGTCCGGCACAAAGGGACATGAGTTCAATCTTAGCTTTCTCTGCTTCTAGGTTTGCATCAGCCTCATTACATTGGCCCCAGTCTACAACACAAAACTTCGATTTTAGCTCATTTACAAAGATGTCGAATTTTACAAGACGATCTTTGCCCAATCCCCATGAAAACTCGAAGTTGGACTTCAGGAGCAAGGTTGTAAGATCGTTTGGCTTCAGCTTGTGAGTCATATTGTTACTGAAGAGATGATTATTCAAAATAGATAGAGCCTTTAAAAAAATAAATTATTGTAAATCGCATGAATTGTGTAATTCAAAATGAAATAATTTTTGCAGCTTACCAATGGCATAAAAGTGGTAAAAATGATTTATCAATTTCTCAACGACAACACAATTATTGAAATTCAGTGAAAAGAAATGATTAAAACAAGTAATAGCTATTTTGGAAAGATATAGTTATAGTATAAACTATAATCAGTAATCACCCTGGCGCAAACCTCGCCTTGTCTCCAAACAAATTGAATACTTGCATTTACTCTTAAAAATTCTAATGACTTAAAGAATTAGTAGGGCTGTCACAGTAATGTAACATTAGTAGTAGGGCTGTCACAGTAATGTAACATTAGTAGTAGGGCTGTCACAGTAATGTAACATTAGTAGTGGGGCTGTCACAGTAATGTAACATTAGTAGTAGGGCTGTCACAGTAATGTAACATTAGTAGTGGGGCTGTCACTACAGTGCAGTGTGACACATTGCTGAGGGTGTGTAAGTAGTGTAACTGTAACAAGGCTGTCTGTACATTGTAACTACACTTTACTATACCATCAGTGTCATGTCACAAGTCGTGTGACCAGTGATCGTCTGAGTCCGAGTCCGAGGCCTCGGTTTTAACGAGGAATGACGATTTTTCCTCGGCCTCGGCCAGAATTCCAGAAGAATGATTCCTCGGTTTGCCTAAGTAAAAAATCGAGTTGCCATTGCAATCTTCAAATTTAACCGAGGATTTGACCGAGGATTTTGTACAAATGTTACCATGGAACAACATCTAGGCACTTTAAAATTTCGTAATTTTAGAAAATTGGTACGCAACTTTTGTTGAAAGTATTTTTTAAATAGATTGTTCAAGGTTGAAACATACTTACATAAACAGCAATCCTGAGAAATTCTACCTCATTCTACATCCGAATCGTTAGCGAAATATCTGATGCAATTAATACTTTTTTGAACCAAAATTCATCGGCCTCGTCCTCGGTTCAAATTAGTACTCCTCGGCCTTGGCCTCGGTTGAAAAAATAAAACCTCGGTTCTCCTCGGCCTCGGTTAAATTACAATATGCCTTCCTCGGCCTCGGTTAAATTACAATATGCCTTCCTCGGCCTCGGTTAAATTACAATATGCCTTCCTCGGCCTCGGTCGCAAATCCTGCCCTCGGTCGATCACTGCGTGTGACTCCTGTCAGTTAATTATTATTGCACATAGAACTATAGAACACTGGGATCGGATCCAAATCGTACCGTGCAGCCCTGAGGGTTGAAGAGAAAATATATCTTTACCTGAGTGTCAACTGGCCTGTGATGCATAGAGCAAGATAATATTTTGATCATTAGAAGAATGAAGGGTTGTGATCAACATAAGTAGTGATGTTAGGAGTAAATGTCACACAGTGCTGGTACAGTGTGTCAGTATTTGTAATCGGGTCACATCAGGGCCAAATTATTGTTTGAAAGTGTAATTATGTATTTCTGAACATGATATTTTCAGATCTGCACCGACAAAAGATAACAAACGAGAATCTTATGGCTGTAAGTAACTCTAGTAATTATGTGTTTTAAACGTTTTCAAGACAGGTCCCACTTTCTTAGTACTTATTTTCAACCTTTTTATCTAAGCTTGTATTGATTGTATAGACCTCCAAGTCAGTGGACATCTAAACAGAAGTGTCTAGCACATTCCTTTATTCCTGTTAGTAAAATTTGTTCCATCGCTACTCAATTATATACTACTAGACAGCCTGTAGTCACAGGGAAGAAGCTAATAATATTTTTTGATATTCAGTTTTCATCCCATTAAAAAAATCTATCTTTACCGAAGGTACAGCCGATTATTTTGTAAAACAATCTAAACACAACGTAATCACAGAAAAACGATTAGAATGCCACACACGTGCACGTTTCCATCTCGTTACTATGCGACCTATAAAATTTTACCCAATTTGCACGTGGGCGGTCATACGTGCAAAAATAAACTTTCAAATTTTAAGTAAGACTGATAGTCAGTTTTTATCGCATCAAAAAATATCCATCCCAACTAGAGATACAGCCGATTATTATACATAAAACATACTAAACACAACATAATCACCAGAAAATGATCTAAATGTATTTTTTGATCAGACAAAAAGAATTTTTCGTGTTATAATAATGATAGTGCAACCCAGCCGGATTTCACTGTCGCATTTAAAAAGTATGAACCCACTTAGTCGAACCTGCAAAAAATTTGTCAAGCAATCAAGATACATTTATAAAACAAAATTATGAAAAATCACCAGCAAAGATTAAGGAACCACAGTCAAACTTGATTAACGTGATTTACAAGTAAGCAAGTACACTATACAGCAATTATTGTACTTGTAAAAACCGGCAAAAGCTGCCATTTCGCCGGCATTATTATTGTGGCATTATTATTGTTGATTCCCGAAACATATTTTTTCGATTTCCTCACAAACCGAAGGAATTAGGGTACATTGTTTGTTTATTTAACTTGAATATAGATGTGATGATTCCGCTTCGTTTTAGTCCATTTGGAGGTCCTTAAAATATTCAGAAGCTGCGATAAAAAAAGTTTAAAATAAGTGGTAAGAAAGTGATGATTGTGAATTTTCCACAATAGGTACCTCTAAATAATAAATAATAAAATTTGGTAGCTTAAACAAAAAATCTAAGCCCCGTGGATAAACCACAAAACTTATGCTCTATTGTGTGAAACAAAGATACTAGATCAAGATAACTATCAAGGAGTGTATGCATAGGTCATAAAAAGTTTTGGAACGAAGATGACATGCTTATGAAGCGAGCTAACAGTCTAATTGCTAATAAGTTCAAAAATATCATGACATTAGGTTGCATCCTAAACAGTTTAAGCAAATAACAAAGTTATACTGTCAATTAATCGCTCATGCCATAACTTTTCTTGAACAGGTAATAGGAAATATCAATTCAAAAGGTCATCATTTTCCCTACTCTGCTCCAAGCTTGACTGAGTAACTTGGTCATTTTTTTTAACCGATTCAGTTTCTGTAAGAGAATTTTTATTTTCTTTCTGAGGTTGAATATTATTATTTTTTCTTGAATTGTTGTCATTTTTGTGCCAATGTTCCATTCGTCCATTTTCTCTTCCTTTCTTAGGCTTAAACTTGTCTTCAAGTCTCTTTTGGTGATGAGGGAATGGATAGTCATCCTTCTCTTTAGGTCTAGAGTTAAATTTCTTGAACTTTTGTTGTCTCGGAATTGGTTTGCCAGGAGAAGATTTCAGTTCAGGAGGCTGATAACCAGCTTCTTTCTTGGCTGGTTCTTCGATGTCAAGCTTTATGGATATAGCAGGAACTTTTCTTTCCACTTCGATGTTTTGCAAGTTCTGAAATTATCATAAATAGTGTCAAAGGACTAAAATGAAGGGTACAATTTTTGGGTGTGCACAAAATGAAATTAACACTTTAATGTACATGAATTACTGTACCTGATCATTCTTAGGTGTCCAGATTTCTGTTATGGTTACAAAATAAATAGTGTTTGTCTGGTGGAGGTGAATGCTCTTCTTCAAGAGCTCTGCTGTGCTAACTGCTTTGTTTACTGCTCCACCAATACCTAAGTTATTATATTTTCACGTCGGAAAATGGCGTTTCTCTTGTATCAAATATAATATAATATAGTTCGTAATATAAATGTCAAATCAGTTTAGCTTTAAGTACACTGCAGCATAACTTATGTATGTTAATTATAACAGCTAAAAAGCAAACAAATTAGTCCGGTCAGTTATGGATATTTACCTGCATTTCATAGTAGAGGGCTGAATTTTTTTTGGGGGCTCTCGAAGGTCTTTAGAACCGAAAAAATTTCGGAGCCCTAAAATTCAGACTGGGAAAATCGCCTGTTTGGCCACGCCCATTTTTGGAACAAAATTTCCAGGCGCAATTTGAGAGAAATATATATAATAATGTCATTCCTAACATGTTAGGGGTCTAAATCTATGTTTTTTTGCACGACGAATCGATTGGAAAGGTTCTTAAAGCTCTAAAACACTTATTTTTTTTCAGTCGCAATTGATAAAAATTGTTCAAAATCGATTTCCGGACATGTTAGGAAAATTCAAGCCCTAAAACACTTTAGTGGAAAAATGAAGAAACCGTCTTTCTTTGTACCAATCTTGGAATCAGAATTGGTTCAAAAATTTAATATCTGGTTTACTCCGTCACACATTTAAGAAAATATATGAGGAATGTTTAGGGCACCCTGGGCCTGACAAGGAATGCTGAGTAGTGTAGGATTACTTTGTGACCTGGAAGTGCTGGAAATTGTTATAATATCATATAGTCGCAAGCAAAGAGCACACAGCAGGCACAAATAAGTTTACTTTGTCACATACTCTTGATGATATCTACACATGTTTGAAATTGAGCAAATATTGATATACCATCTTAAACACCCTATATTACGTACTGGATCAATCAACACTATTACAGCCATGCACCAGTCACATAAATTATTCTGTGGTAGTAATTTGTTTGCAGTGTCACAATTAAAACATCGAAACATGGTAAAAAATACGTTAATTTTGTCACAAAAACTATTATAACTCTGTTTGCTCCTTGCTGGAAGATAATTAGTTTATCGAAATTTGTATGATGATAAAATTATATTGAATTCTAATAGAGATATATGGTGAACTTCAAAATAGGGCAAGCAATCTTAATTTCGTCATGCATAAGTTGTTTTTTATTATGGTTGAAATTGATTAATACAAGAAATTTTTAGCAGCCCATACCAGTTTTCCGCATTAAGTTTATATTGTTGGGGCACAAAATATTAATTCTGTCACATTTTTAGAGTTTTAGTGACTTAGCAAAATTTAACTCAACATTGTTAAACTTGAGCTCTGATATAGAAAATAATTTGATCGTTAGGTTGATTGGTGATAAATGATAAAATTGAGTCACGAATTGCTTTTTCTAAATATGATTTAACAAATTTGAAAGAAAAATACCTGAGATTGTACAAGTGCGCTTTTCATTAAGCTCTTTTTTGGAGAAATGAACAAAGCCATGTAGTTTTCCGTAATGGCTACACTTTACAATGTCTTTATCTGCAACATTAAAGTTCTTTATAACTTCCTTTTTCTCGTAATTTTCCATTTCAATTTTCATGCTCTGCTCATCTTCAACATAGCGTAGCCTAATTTGTAATGTTCACTTAGGTACATAAAACATTGTATAATATAGTACTTCAATTTCAGAATCACATATATGCAATTGGAACAGTTTTGCTGTGGCTAGCAAAGTCAAAATCGCCAAAGAGAGATAGAGATCAGATGTTGGAGAATCTTATGTCTGAAATGATGAACGCTTCACCTACTGACAGACCAACTCTGGAAATAGTTTCACAGGTTTTAAACATTGTTAAATCATTGAAACATTTTAATATATGTTTTAAAAAGCAAACGATTCTGCAAAAACATGGAATTAACTTTTAATTTGCAAAGCTAATATCCATTGATCAACCATCAGGCTTGTGAAATGATACTACAGCGCTTCCAAGTGTCATCAAAAGATATTCTGAATGTGATGTATGATGACTGTGTCCGAAATCCTAGCGCATCAGGTAAATAACTACTTATTTCTTACTTCTGTGCGTAAGGGGGGCAGCATTTTTGCGAATTGTAGGTATTTTAAAAAGAAAATACGTCTGATTTATGTATTGGGGGGGGGGGGGGGGGGGGGGGGGGGTGGGGTGACATGTCCGCCTATGTCCTGTCCTTTTTAGATTCTATGAGATTACAGACATGTATTTTGGGACGGAAGCGGAATTAGACGGCAATTTGCGGACATTGACAAACATTAATGAACACAAAAATTTCTAAGCTATAAATTTTTAAAAATTATCATGAAAACCACTTTTCTCACTTTCTCTACCTACTCCTTGATGTACGATCTTGGAATCGAGGCTTCCCCTTTGTAATGCGATATCTGAAGGCAGGGCTCCTCTGAGCTGGAAATGTTGTTCCGTTCCTTCCCCTAGAGTATTTTGATGTGCGGCCAAGCAGCTTCTAAATTACTTACTTTAACCAGATATCCGATCAATTCCTAAATTGTGTCACTATGAGAGTGTAAGTGAAATTGAGTGGAATTTAAATTGAAATATTGTCGAATTGGTATTATTTTAGAGGGTAAAAAAGAAAATTATCAACAGCCAAACAACCCCCTCCCTCCTTGTAATCAACCGTGATCAATTTTGATTACCTAATGTGTGAAAGACCCCTTAGCTGGGTAAATTGATAGGAGTACTTAACCCATGGAGTTTTATTGAACAAATAAATGAAGATCATGATCACCAGCATTGTCAAGGTCACGTGTTCAGGGTAGCTAACTCACGTGACTCCATACTTGACAGTCACGTGACTCAGCTCTAGACTGTGATTACCACTGTTTCAGACAGTGGCTGCTTGCCAACAGCCCTGTCAAGAGCATCAACAGGGTGTGCCACATAACATTTTACTGTCCGCTATTGTCTGCTTATAATGTCCACCAATGTCCGCCAATGTTGGCCTATGTCCGCTTATGTACTGTCCTGTCCTATACTTTCTGGATTCTATGAGATAAGCAGACTTTGGCATGTCACCCCCTCACCCACCCCTGTATTATCCCGTTTACTTAAACGTTCAGTCCTAGGCGAAATAGGCTCTAGCAGGAGGGGGGGGTGATAAAAAGCTGTAGGGGGTGGCAAAAAGGGCTGACCTTTTTTCTTCTATTTTAAGGAAATTAGAAAATGTTAGGGGCAGCAAATAAATTTAGCAGGGGCAGCACATAGGTACGTGTTGCCACTGATTCTTCAGAAAGAAAGCAACTTTGCTCTCAGTGCCTAAATATCTCAAGCAATCACAAAACTTTATAATGATGACCAAATAAAAATTCAGAATATAAAAATGTTGTGATGGACATATTTTGATGCAATAAAACTGACTCCCCCCTGTGACCACAAGCTTTCTAGTATATAATATTTTATATCATATATATAATATGACTAGGGTAAACCGGCCTTTGGCTGAATTCCACTGTTGCAGTTAGCCTGCAAAAAGTTTTAAAAGAATATAATATACCGATATTTATAATTATGAAACATTACCAGGGAGGTTGAAACTTAGATGAGAAGTATGGACCCGTAAAGTATGACGTATGAAATACGTAAATCGAAAAGTACGACTAGTATAGTACAAAATACTTTTTGGTACAAAAATTTTATAAGACGCAACATTTCGAAACTTCAAGTTGTTAGCCAATGAACAAATCAAACAAATAAAAGTCAACTTAGCTCATGTCTCTATTTTCAAACAGTCCTATATATATTTTCAAACAGTCGTATTTCAAAATGTTTCTCTCGCGCATGGATTTTGGGACTGTACTTTTCAATACAAATTTAAGAGTATGTATGAAACCGTCGAATTGAAAAGTCTGTACTTCTCATCTTAGGGTTGAAAAGAACACACTCAAACTTTAACTAAGATATGAAAATGGAATGAACTAGTACCATGTCTTGCACATCAGATCGAAGCGTCTTTAAATTATTTACTATTTTTATTGTATAGTATTGCTGTGTGTGAATTTGATTATAAATTTTCTAATTCTAATTACCTTACAAGACATTTTTGTGGCGGACCAATGTGCGACGACCGAAATTTTGGCGGTCCAAAAATATGGCGAAATTGAACAAAAACCGTCACATTTCGGACGTCACAGAAAATAAGGGTATTTTTCATCATTTTGTTTTCTGACACAAAGGAAATTCAAAATTTTCTAAAAATCGGTAAAATCATGTTGAAACAAAATGAAACTTATAAATCGATTTCTTCATCTTCCTCTAAGGGGTCCGGCTCGAATCTTTCAGTTTCACTTATTGAGTTTGGTATTAAATTGTTTATCTTGACTTAGTCTATAAGACGTTTATGTTAGCACATAAATGTAATTTATTGTAAATTTAAAACGTATAACTTGACATTAAATTCATCATGGAATATTGTGTTTATTTGTCCCACCATCATATCACTAACTTTTCAAGAACAAAATGAATCGATGAAGCCACAATTATTGGAATAAGCTAAAAATAATGCGACGGATTCTATTACGACGACCGAAATTTTGGCGGTCCGAAAATATGGCGAAATTTCGGGAAAACCGTCGCATTTCGTACGTTATAAAAATGTCTTGTAAGGTATAGAGAAAATCTGTGAAATCTCTAAATTCTCTAAATCACTGGTGATTTCATAATTTTGTTGGGTTTGTTTTCCTGTTGCTTGAAATACAGACTATCTGAGCGCTTTTGTAATCTTGCACCTTTTTAACTGCGACAGTGAATCATGTTAAAATTGGGTATTTATCATCAGCTACCACAATAAGAACTATTCACCAATTTTATCTTAATCTATTGGTCAATTAATTAATTAGCCATGTTGCTCGGTTTCAGCCTTGAAAGCTTGAACTGCTAATTTCAGCATTGGTGGAGAAAAGAAAAAAATTTAGATTGAAAGGACCACTAATAAAACCCAGAACTAAATCGCCATATCAGGTACATTTACATTTAGTCACTAGTTTCAGTATTAGGTCATTGATAGCCAGTAATAGATAATAAATAAACATGAATCCTTATAATATAGTTAGTGACATAACATAGTTATAATTTATAAACTTTGCTCAGTTGGTAAGCATTGAAGATAAAGGAGGAGAATTGAGAGACGGTAGTTTGATAGAGGAACAAACTGAGGTAGAAGCTGGACCTCCAAAAATTACTGACATCGAGCAAGGGACAGTTGACCCAGATGAAAGTGTCTCATCACATGATACACATGATAGTCTAGATGTGAGTTGTTCACTGTATTAAGGGTATCCTCAAGTACTCCTTAATTATGGGTGGGCCAAAAGTCACTAGACATACGTTGGCCTTAATAGCTCCGCCGTGTTTTATATTTGAGAGCTGTTGCTTTGCAGATAGCATACTGTACCTTCTGGTTCGAGGATTCTGTAGCCAAAATTTGAAAATTCGAATATTTTAGACCACGCCCATTCAAAATTAAAACACCTATATTGTTCTCTCTGGACATGCTGGACGCCTGATTTTTTCAGAGAAAACGGATTAGAGATGACGAAGTTATCAAGCATTTTCTGTATCTCGTTAACAAAATTGACTGGGTGATTATGTGAAACCATGACACGACACCTTAATTGGGCAGCCTTAACGATTCCCATAATGTTTAATGTGGTGGTTAACGGGGTGACCTTATCACGTGATCAGGTAAGCCAATCACCTGATCACAAGTAATGAATAAACTCGTTATGCTTTGTATCTCGTTCATCTGAGAAGCTAAAACTGTAATTTTTTCAGGACAAACGTAATTCGAATGGCCAAACACAATTCAATAAAATTTAGCTCGATCCAACTATCCAAACTATCAAATAAATGCAAAAATGTACCTTGATTTGAAAAAATGAACTCAATATTTTTCAATTTGACACATTCCTCGAACCAGTGGTGGTAGTAAGTCGTACCAGAAAGAATTGTTTCAATTGGTCACTCAGTGACTGAGCTATTAAGGCCAACGTATGCCCAGTGACTTTTGGCCCACCCTGTAAATAAATTGCATTTTTATATATTTGAGCGGGGGAGGTTCGGGTACTAACTTCTGTACGTAACGTCGAAGTCGGATCTACGCCAGAAAACCCTATCCATAATGCATACAGTTCCTCTTTAGAGTTTGTCCCAACTTCCCTCTTTAGCATAGACACATAGCTTTGTCTAGGTCTGCCTTGCTGTGTTCTACCATGCAGAGGTTCCCATAAGACTAGACTAAAACACTGGCCAATAGCTCAGGATAGGATGTCAGATATAGTATCCCGCCATTTTTAATCTCCTGGATACCATACAGAGTAACATACATATGGAAATATACCCGATTGGCACTAACGCGTAATGTTAGAACGACAATACATTCGATTAACGATTTAAATGGGAATAAATAAAATTAATGCAAAGATAGAAATATTATAACACAAATTACTATAGTATATATATTGCAGTATACAATATACAGTAACAGTTACTGTAAAAATCGTAACATGATATTTTTGTTAATAGCGCTCGACTTTCAAAGTATGGTTGACGACGCAAATTGGTAGAAATATGCGCGGCGTTCC